TGGAAACGATTTTCGTCTTCACCAACGTGTTTTCACTTTGTATTCAGCGGTTAGATAGTCACGTGTTCTAATAATCGTCTAAGGCCGAGGAATGGGTACATAATTTTTGCACCAACAGCCTCAGTGTAAGCATATATAAAAAATATGACGTCGATTTAACAATAAATGTTAACAATACATAATTCGTAACGGGTTTAAGTTATGTTTGTTAAAGTAAAATCAATATTATGTTTTGCATTAATCGTCAATACACATTTCATCGATTTAATATGTTTTTATTATTTTTTTTTTTTAACTAAAAGATTAAAAAACTAAAATGTTTGTATTATTATCTTTAATGAGGTTTATAATTGCAGTTATTTTAGCATGTTGTAGTGAGGGGTTTGGGGATATTTTAAAATTGAAATAACAACAATAATTACTATGCACATTTATTGAAAATAGATATATGGAATTAGATTAATTAAATCGAGTAGTGGTATATCTATATAGACGTATTTTAATAGATCACTGTAATCTTTATTGAGCAATATTATTTATTTAAAGCTATAAGATTTAAATAAATCATTTAATGAAAATTAGTATCTGCGAATAATTATGACCCGTGTTTTGTACATTTTAAAATATATGTTAAATTAATTTGTTAAGATTATATTATGTTAACTCCTAGTCTATCAGTTTATCTATATTCTATACTGAATCATACTCGTTAATAATACTCAATAAATGTAAATAAAATAGATATTTTAATATTTTAATAAACAATATTAGAGAATAAATATTTTATTTTACATTTGCTGGTTTACCTTAGCTTCTTTGTATGTTAGATCTGAATTCAGGTAAAATAAAAAAGATAAAAATTACAATTTATAAAAAACATTTATATAATATATACCTGAAAGTTAAAAATGTTTAACCATCTATCATAGTTATTTATTATTATAAAATTATCAGCATTAATCTCATTTTATGTTTGGTAGGTTAGATTATACAGAATTACTTAAATACAGTTTATACAGAATTGCTTAATTGTTCATGGGTTTAATGTTGTACATATTTTCTTGTATATAATGTATTTCGAAGTAGTATAGTATTTAAAGAGTTATACTTTTTTCTGGAAGTATGTGAAATGTATTTAAATAATTAAAAAGTATTAGTCGTATACATTTTAAAATATTAAGCTATAGAAGAAATAAAATTTATAGTCTCGTACATTACACAATTTTGATTAGGTTGCTAAATTATTGTACTTTTAATAATTTACTTACGGTATGTTATTACAGAGTCATCGTAATACAAATTACAGATAAACCCTGAAATGAATGCTTGATGGATTTAAATATCAGACCGTAATTTACGAATAATTGCGATTAAAACAGTAGTGCAATAAACGTTAATACATTGAATTGATAACGTCCTTACTTAATTTTATACATATTATGTTGTTTTGCCGTGCAAAAGGTTAATTAAGTTTGGATTCGGTTAAGGGTCACCATAAGATTGTCGTATGGAAGCGGTTGTGCACCGAAAGTAAATCCTTGACGTCCCCGATTGACGCGGGTCGTGGTTCAATGAAGGTGTCCAAAACCTGAACTAATTGCATTGCATTTACTCAATGTATAATTAGAAGAAAAACAACAAATAAAATAAAAGAAGGAATTTCCACACGTATGACGGTGACTGCTGTGTTAATAATTTTTTAACTAAAAAATAAACAAAACAAAAACAAATAAACTGTTTAAAATTGATATTACGCTTTCACGTCTCAGGCTGCTTTGAAACATTAAAATTTTAAATGTTCCGAAGGCCAGTATGATTTTTGAACACACATTTTCGACGCACTTGTCATTTGCTCATATAGAGGATGAATATTTTCTTTGATTCAGACTTTTAATGCAGAGAACTGAGATCAGTTGTGAATTTGAAGTAGGTAATACAATACAACGAGCCACAAAATGTTTTGTGGCTGTGAATCGCTGAATGACAATAGTTGAAATGTCAAATGATTAGCATTTGCGTGAATTTTTTTATCCCTTGTTCTAAGATACATGTATTATTATATAACAAAAGTATTAGGTATATCATCGTATGCATGTTATGTGAATTGAATAACACAACATCCTTTTCGATAAGACCCGTGTCTATACGTCAGAATTCCGTTGACCAAATACTCACGATTTATTTCTTGGTATTTATATTTTTACTCTTATTCGTTCATTATAAAAATACAATTGAAATATTAATATTATGTTGTTAAAAAATTAAAGATTTAAATCGGGCATGGAAAAACAACATGATTCATGGTATTCATTAGTTTAGGTATGAGTATTTACTCTGAGATAAATTTTCAATAAAGAATAAAAAATCTTTGATCCGTGGTGTGGTTTAATTTAATTTTGGAAAGGATTTAGTGCTGGTTAGTATTAAAGTATCTATAATTACAAATCAATCCAAAACCAATTATATTCAACTAACCCCGTCCGAATAGAGACTTATAATATGTCTTCTAACTCCTGCATGGCTGTATTCATATATTATATTATACTACAGAGTATATACCATATAGAAGTCACGTTTCATTCTGAATTTATTAATATTTAATGTGATGGTGGTTTATAAAACAACTGTTATGAAAACCAATTTTTCTTGGACAGATGTTTAAATCAAATTAACGAATCTGTTATTAGAAATTATCAATGAAATTAAATTTGGATGTAATCAAATCCTGATGTGGCCATAGAAAGTTAGCAATATTCTATATCATTTATTTTTATGTCTCGTAAATTAGTTATTAAAATTAAAAAGAAGGTACTTACAATATTATAATATAAATCGTAGAACAAGATATATAGCTGACTTAAAATTATGAAATACATTATTATTATATAGGAATATCTTTTCCCGATAATTTATAGTGATGAATATTTATTAATAAAAATAAATAATATAAGGAACATTACCATTTACCGAGGAATTGTTATTTTTTTTTAACTTTTAATCGGCCTTGACCTAATAATTTCTATTAAATATGAATAAAAATTAATTTGATGACTACTTTCTGACATACGAGAATACACTACCAAAATATAATTTCTGCAATTTTAACTATAGCCCCAATTCTTTCCAACCATATTCGGGCTGGTATAACTTTCGAATCATTCAATCATCAGTAGTCAGAATTCATATAATTTTAAGATGTTTTCATTGAAATGAATGTTACATTTTTCAATTTTTGCAAATATTATGCATCTTTGATACAATAAAATAATTATATCGTAACAAAAACCGATTCATAGCTAAAAAAATGTATTTATTTCAACTCCTCGAAAAGATACTTGATTCAAAAAACAATAAATGTATGAATGGCTGTATTGAATTATTTAATTTCTATTATGTTCACTTTGAAAACTGATGATAAATTATCTAACGACGGAATTACTAATTTTATGCGATTTATCATTTGTATTGTTATTATTTTGTGTGGGTAATGTTATCAAATAAAATTTAAGTCCTACTGATGAATATTCAATAGAAAAATTCTTGATATTAGTCAAATAATGAAGGTATTTATACAATCATATTTGTTTGTCTTGGTAGGTATGTAATTTAAAATATTCCAAGTTCACATAATAAGTTAGATATTTTAAAATGTATTAAGTCAATAAATACGAAGGCACCTAAATGTTATCTCCATGGTTTCTACCGAAATGTATTTTAAATTATAAATATTAAATAGTAGTCGAAAGTACCTTAGGTAGTTGTTTAATAAAAATACTGAACTGTCATCTCATCTATAAGTGACCTTACAAGTTATAATTATTATTACAAGCGGAATAAAAGTTCGATAATCAATGAATAATTTACGATATGTAAATAATATGATCACCCATGTTGCCATTTTATTTACTTCAACATATTATACTTTTTCAGTATTATTTTGTTAAACAAAGATAGTGGAATATTAACTTTGCTATTTTTATACATTTATACTAAAATAATAATGCCTTTTTTAAAAGCATGCGATAACCTATAGATAAAAAAAGTTTAAATAATTTAGTTGTGAAGTCTATAGAATTTATACAGTGATATAACTGGGGCACTTTTCACTCCTTTTTTTACGTCTTTTAATTTTGTTTCATGTATGTAAAAAAATTATTATTTTTATTGAAGGAACTTTTTCTCGTTCTATGTGTTCCTACTACCTACGTACAATTATATTATACCTGTCTGCCCGTGACCTCCAAAAGTGAAAATATTTAGTTTAATAAGTTTATAACATGCAGTATTAAAATACCGATTGGGTTATGTTATAATATTTTATACATCTGAATACTATGAAGTCGGTGGTACCAAATTCAAAAATAATGTGTTCCTACATATTACATTTTTATAGTTGATTTGTCGCATACAAACGAAAGCGTCAATAGTCGTTCAAATTCAGTTGAAGTAATATGGATGTTACCCATATGGCATATATTTTATTTAAACATTGTACCTATTTTCGATATGGTGTATATGTAACCACGGATATTAGATATAATATTGATACTTATAGGCTTCTATATAGACTTTTTTCATTTGTGAGTGACAGAATTAAATGACCCCTCTCCCTTCCAAATGAACACATTTTTGTCGATATTTTTCTTTGTTTACTTTTATTCAACTAACAAAGAAAAAATAATTTTTGTATTTAAGTTAAGTTTTCATTTTACTTTATTATTAAGTAAACATAAGAAATTTTCTGGGCCAGTTAAGATTGCTGCTCGCATTTAAAACTCTTTCCAAACCATGTCACTGATACCTCCCTAACGTGGAAACAGCTTAGTATTATTTAAAATAACATAAATAAAATATTATTGATTGGTTTTTGTACATAAATATATTATTGATATGTTTAAAGTTTACAACCGGACTGTGTTAAATTTGAAGTAACCAAGGAAGTACTTATTACACACATTATGTTAACATTTTAATATTACATTTATTGCAGTTTTACTCACGTCAGATTTCATACTGTCGACCGTTGTATATTGTATTACATGTCAATGGTCAATCGTCGTACGGACATTCAATAATAACAACGTTTACGATAATATTATATTAATGTGTTACGACTGACGACACGTGAAACGCGCAAACATCGAATAAGCCCGCCAAATACGACGATATAGACGCGCCAACGCACTGTTTCACGGGAAAAATAATATTATTTTACCTATCGAGTGAACCAGCGCCAGTCGCACGCACGAGGAGACTACCTGACTACATTATTGTTGCTTGCTAACCAGCTATCTTGGGCGACGGCCTCAGTCATCGTTAACGTGTTCATCTCGCATTCTCGTCCCCTCCTTCGGCGCAAGAGGACACGCTCGGAGTTCTTGTGGTGGTCTCGTATATAGCGACGTTGTTATCGTTTTACGTTGTGCGTCTTAGATATTATTTTGATTCCGTAAAAAGAAATATAAAAAAAAAAAAACGTCTAGGAAATCGAAAAAACTTGTTTTCGTTTCCACGCGCAATTCTCTGTCGTACATAATAATAATAATAATATGTAATGTATTATTATTATTATTATAATAATAATATAGGAACCCTAGCTGCATTGATACGCAGCATAAACTCGCGAACACCGCGCGGTTGATTATCGATGGTCGATTTCTATATGCCTAAAATATAGATTTTAAATTATTACTATTATTATTATTATTATTATTATTTGCTTCCGAGAATCGATGCCCAAGTCGTTAAAGTAACATCGTGAAAACAATTTTCAGAAACATTTTTTTTTTTTGATTCTGGATTTCAAATTGAGTGAAATGGAAAAAAAATCAATTCGAAATTTTCCTCGATTGTCGAGATAATTTGTTACACATATGTAGGCATCTATTTGTGCAAAAAACAATACAATTTAATAAAATATTGTATTTTGCTATCTAAAGAATATAAATTTAATACGATAACAAGTATATAAAAAACGCAACTATTGTACGTATAGGTTTAACTTTATTTAATCAAATTATTTTCTGATATTTTTATTTTGCATATATAATATGTGTTATAACTTAAAATTAGAGATAAGATTTTGATGACATGACCATCAAGGCACAAAACTGATTTAAAAAATGCGAATAGCTATAAAAACTTCTAAAAAATGTTTTTAAATAAGTGAAAACATTTTAATTTTAAAATAATAACAATTATGTATATTATATTACATCTGCACTTACGAAATAGTTTATCACACCTATTATATTAAAATAGCATTTTGTAACGTAATATTCCTATATAACAAATTCGACTGGAATTTAAAATTTTTTTTAATTTTTAAAAATGACTTAAAATGTAAAAAAAAAAATACTAAATAAAATTCATATATTCTGAATCAATTGAGCATGAAACACATTTGAAGATTGGTTTGTATAATTGCGTAAAATTAAAGAAAAAATGCATAAGTCATTAACGTCCTATTTTTACTTATATAGTATAAAGGACTACGAGGTTGAATTTTATGTCTTATGGATTTTTGTTTACTCAAACATTATTAGGTACCTACATCGGGTGCGTTTAAACAATAAATAGTTCATTTTATTTCCTAATTATTAATTATAAATCATAATCATTATGTAAAATACAATATAGTAGATACGTACATTATGTATATTAACTATTAAGCACTGTACCTACAATTCATTATGGATGGTTTGCGTTTGAACGAAAGAATTTTAAGAATTTCAATCTAGTTTGAGTGTATGATTTTAAAATATTGTTATTTGCTACATATCTCAGTATCCGTGTGACTTTAAACCTTAATAAGTTGCAACGTGTTTCGAAAATATTTTACCAATGCATATCCCATATCATTTTAATAGATTTGTAGAGACAGATGTGTATTGTGCGGGAATGATTATTAATTTAAAATGTATTTATTTTTTTAAAATTTAATTACAAATCATACTATTTAAATACGTATACATTTTTCAGACTCATAAATATGTTTTACATTTTTAGTTCATGTAATAATAAACGAAAATTTACAGTTTCTAATATGGTGTTAGGCATAGGTACAAGAATATTCAATTTATCTTGACAAATTATAGTGATTAAATCTACTAAAAATGTGTCAGTAATCAGTACACTATATGTTCAGAGTTTATTTGTTTAGAATAAACGACGAAATGTGTAAACCTCAGTGTTCTTTTGGTATAAATATTCATATTATAGATAAAATACACATACGATTATTACATGTAATACAGCAAGCCTATAAAACTATGTTTTGTAATTTGTCTGTTTAATACCCAACAATATGAACAAGTAAATTGTTTTTATTCTATTGATATATGTAAACAAAGCATAATAAGCACCTATATTATTCTTCTTTATATACAATGATAGTAAAAATAATCTATTTACTCTATTCTTGAAGTAATAGGAACAAAATAGTGTTATAAATTGTGTGCTTATGGCTACATGTTTTTAGTGATATTTATAGGATAAAGGAACGATGATTGACTTTAACACGTCTGATTTTCGTCTGAAAACCGCAAGCAGTTGAGAAATATTTCACAATGGTATGATTAAATGAGATAGGTACCTACCATTATTATATACGTGAATAAGTTTGTTTATATTTTAAAAACATATTCAAAAACCGTTTTTTTTTTTAGAATTAACTTGTACCTTAAGGACAAATCCTATCGGTATTATATTATGTATTTCGATGATATGCCAACCAGTAATCATCGCAGCCTCGCAGAATTACAAGAATACTATATTATTATGAATGTGTTAGTGTTGTGTTATGTGGATTTTATCATTGCAAGTCGTTACGAGGATGTAGTATTGAATTGAAATGTCGAACGCATCTTAATTACATAATAATGTAATTTTATCGTTATTCGTTATTACATAATTTCTCTACCTATATGTGTACAAAAATATACCAATTTAAAACACATCACAAGAATATAAGAATATTGGATGCATATCTAAATAAAGAAAAAGAACTGGGTGTCTGAGAATAAGAAAATACTTTTAATAATTCTAAATCATGACAATTATTACAGTAATATAATAATGTCATGCTGTAATACAACTAAAAAGTGAGATGCTGCAGCAGTATAGTAGTAGTTGTAATCGGATATGGGTCACTGCTGCAGCTAATGGATGATGATTTAAGATCTAAGAACAACATTGCAGCACAAGAAAAACGAGTTTTCTTATTAAAAAAATTTCTTACCGTTTTATCAAATTAATTTGAAAAATACTTTTATTTTTAATGTACTTGCATCCGATTTTCAACCGATATGGGTCGCAACTCATAATATTAAATGTTCATATAACAATAATGAACTCACCTAAAAAATATTTTTTTTTAGCCACAATTTCATAAAAATATAATGTTACGTGCCCGTGTGCGATTCTACCTGCATTGCTCGTAGTTTAATAGTTGTATAGTTTTAATCAAGACCTCTATGAAAATATTAATCCATCGAATTTTGCAATCCCCGAGCGTTTCATTAACCGCGTTGGTCCGTATCGCCCGCAACAGACGTTAATCACTGTTGCGCGTAGTGCGCACACCGTTCCACCGTCAATAGTTTTTGAAGTTTCAAAACTCCGGATTTGCACTCGATCAACGGGTATTATACAGTATGATTATGATTATTATTATTGTTTCTATAATATCGATTTTCATCGATCGAAACTATATTTTTGCTCCAGGTCGGGTTAGGGACGGATGTGGACCGTTGCGGTGTAGGTTTACCTACACTGCATACGGCCGATCGATCTCTCGCGTTGCTGGCACATTTCCAAGCTCATATTATATTTTATATTTTATATTGCGCGCTTAAAAATTATGGTTACAGAGACAATTTGATTTTTTTTAAACAAAATTATAAAAATTACTTACAATAAAAATCAGACAAAACTTATGTGATGTATTGATTCATAAAATAATCCATGGTTATAACTTATAACATAATAGTTATGTACATTGTTCTACTATTATGTTCGTTTTCAACTTTTAAATGATACCGTTGTTATTAAAATTTTGAAATAACTCGACAGTCGTTAAAGAAAATGAGCTTTTGAGGTAAATTTTGTGGGGCTTATATTATGTGATGTCTTATGAGTCATGAGTTATGATAATAATATGTATTCATCTGCAGTAATAGTGTTTGATTTAATTATTGTAATTTTTCAAATTATTGACTTGGAAACATAAATATGCGTTTGAGACCTATATTGAAGGAAGATTACTATACGTCATAGGAAAATGAATCATGTTTGTATTAAAAACGATATGATAACATTGTAATAGTTTTTAAAAAACTAAAAAAAAAGGTATTTGAAACACATTATATTTGAAATTTGACCATTTCTGCAGTAGTAGATAAAATACCTAGTTAATTGTTAAACCATGAAAATTGAGTGTATTTATAAATATATGTATAACATTATAATTCGTTATTTATAGACTATAGTTGGGAATTGCATGTTAGTTTGATCCTTATAAAAATGTTATTGTAATACTAATATAGCATAAGTTAGAGATTTTTTAAACATTTTAAAACTATTGAAATTGTGAATATTAAAATTATATTTAATACAAAATTGAATGAACTTACATATTTAGAGCTTTGTACGATGACATTGGTGTTTTTCATATTCTAAAAAACTAATCAAATGTTTTTTACAAACAATAATTTAAAGCTTAATTCTTAATTCTCTATGTAGGTAAGTCAGCTGTAGAAAATAAAATGGATTTATTAAACATGAATTCGAGTAGGTAGTGAGTTTGGATCTAGGAAAAAACGACACGAGTAAAATACGTCACGGAACAAAACTTAAAAAATGTATTTTTATCTAAAAATCACAACCATCGTTTCTAAGTTTATTAATAAAATAATGACACAATATTACTATAAACAATTTGAGGGAAAACGTAAAATAAAAATTAGAAACAATAGTTTTAAAAAATCACAAATATCACAAATTCGTTTCATTATGGGTTCAGGTGGAACTCTGGCTTGTGATTGTGTGTCTAAAGTTTTCATATTTTCGGCATAAATTTCCGCTGGATTCGTTTTAGTTCTTTTGGCCGCTTCTTTCATTTTATATGTACATTTTATAGCATTTACCTACCCAAAAATCCAATTGATATTTTATTACTAAATAATATAGTTCTTACCAACAGTTGCTCGAGCGACAATTATTCACAAAAAAATTATTCGAATATGACAATCGTTCGCGCATAAATTGTTCGTA